AGCCACCGCCTGCAACACAAGACAGCGCTCGACGCGTCCGAACCACCCCCAGTGATGGCAAATTTTAGCAAAACATCGATACTTCGAAACATTACCAAAAGGTTTTCGATGTCGAAGAAAACATCGACAAAGAACATCAATGTTTAAAATATCGATGTTTTAAATGTGTTGAAACACTTCGAAGTAAAATATTCTGGTTCTAATGTGATACATAACACGTCAATATTAGTTTAAAGTTTTATTCTGCCGTAAATTTCTCTGTCATCTCAATTTTATAATTAATGTTCTATGTAGTCAAGGTTACAAATGAAGTTTAACGATATTACCACGTACAAAATCAAAAAAGATACAAACACTGGTTTCGAATAGCAAACGGTATTGGGCCGTCTGAGAATTGACAACGGTGACCGTTGTCAATGGCTGTTGATTGTGAGCAATTCTCAAAAAAATGTGTACTAAATTGTTTATTTATATCATGAGCATTTTTTAAACATCGATGTTTCTGGACAAATATATCTATTTGAAGAAAACATTGAGTGAGCATGATTTAAAAACATAGATTTTTTGCCATCCATACCCACCCCACATCGCCCAGCCGTGACAATTGAAGAGAATTGATTTCCAAAGTGTCGCATCTCCTCGAAACACAATTGAAGGACTCGGAGGAGCTTACTGCTAACCCACATGTCTACCATTTTGGTCAGACACAGGACAAACGAAGTTTCAGTACAATGAGACGTGTCTTCTTTTCTATATACACTTTGGCTGCTTGCAACACACATACTAAAGTTCTATGAACACGTTCAGCATTTCGAATATAATATTTATTTTAGGAGTCTTTCTAAGACCTTGGATTTGAATTTATCAAATGAGAGAACTGTCTTCTCCCGACCCCTTCAATTCTTCAGAAAGGGAAAAATTTTCAGGAGCCTTATAGTTCGACATATTTTAACGGTTTTCGAATACCATTTCACATAGGAGAAACGCACTTTTTGAACCCAATATTTGGCAGCATTATAGAAAAGCGTTCTAAAAATATATAAATACGAAGAATTTGAATACTGAGGAAAGATAATATGGATAATATATCTTTCCTCCATATTCCTGATAAGGAAAATTGATATAGGTCACTTTGAAAATAAGTTCTTCAATTGCAGTCGGGTGCGTTTGCAATATCAACCCATTGGTTGCACCCTTTAAAGATTCAGAATGCAGAGCGGGAGAAGGAGAAGAGTGCCTGGCATCATTATGAAGAAATTTTATTTCATGAGTCAATGGAATAACATACCCGCCCATACGTTGTTCAAATATTTTATTTGGGCAACGAATAGCGAATTTTGACGTCAAGTTCCCTCCTTCCATACTCGCTTAATGGACTGTGGTCATGCCAGAAATTATCCTCTTCGTTAATTTCCTATCGGTAATATGAATTGAATTCTTATTTTACTGGGCGAGACTCATTGCCATGAGGCCCGGCTATTCCGTCTTGACACGTAATTTCCGCTCGATCCTATTCCAACTAGCACTGAGAAGGAAGGTATGCTAGGGCGGACGAAACTGGACGATTTGAAATTTAGCTCAGAGGCTTCCATTTAGGCTTCATCTTTTACATTGCAGTAAATCTCATAACATGGGGACAGCCGGCTTTACTCCCTCCGAAGAAAGGCGTACGTAGGATTTTTTCGCCCTTAAAATCCACGGCTTCAATCGGGTATAACAGTTCGATACCGTTACACTATCGTCGCCGTATTACACCATCGCGCCGCCATGAAATAGTTACGATGTCCTTTCATTGGTCCAGAAACTGATATTTGTCTACCACACCCCAAACAGCTTTAAATTTTCCGACCACACCCCATTTAAAAAACCCTGCCCCGCGCTCACGAGTCAGAAGCGCAATCGCGGTCGGACTTCGGGCTCACGCGG